AAAAGGCATTTACATGTCCCGTCCAGTGACGCTAGAGTAGGATACACCTGTGTTTCCTCACTTTAAGCTCCTCCCAAAGCCTGCATTTATGGAATGTGAAGAGTCTCCATGGTGGTGGAGGAGGAACGATTTCCAGGAGAGAGGACGTGAAGAAGAATTTAAGCTTAAGCGAAGATGTAAGTCAGTTTACAGTTGGCCTCCATGACAATCGAAGCCACCATCATTGAGTGGGTACAAAGACGGACATTTGAGAAACATTTTCGTACTTCGTTTTTCAGCCTCGAGGATTGCCACTTAATCAATCTGTTAACGACTACATTCACAACTAGCTTGACACCACAGAGAATCCCTGCATTTAAAATGACGTTCTTCAAAGTGTTGCTGTAACGTCTTACTTGCTCCAGTAGACTCTTCCTTCAATGGCTTGCATCTCTCCGAGCATGGCCAGCAGCAGGGAGGATTTCCCACAACCCACCTGGCCCACGATCATCGTCAGCTGACCTGAGATGGAAACAAATAGAAGAGTTGGAGAACGTTATGGTTTGTGTAGAAGATATCTACGAATAATAATACATAGTAAAAAAGTTAGCTTATATATTTGAAATTTGATGTACCTACAGATTTATTTAAGTTGTAAATATCCAATATTTGCTTTTAAAAAACAGAATATATGATACACAACCTAAGCTCAAACAGAGCCCTACTGGTGGTTCTTAAAAACCAAAAAGACAAATCCTTGGAATTCCAACTCTCCAATGACTTGATCTCTTAGTTATTTCCTAAACTAACTATCCATACTGCTGGCCGAAAGTCTAAAGAAGTTCCTTGAAGAACAACTTTCATATAAAAAAGTCACAAAGATATAAGTAGAGAAAGCTTCACACTTCAGTTCCTCCAAGTAACATCACAGCAACGCTTGGCAGAACAACAAATCCTGGTTGTCTTCGTAGTGGCATAGCTGGGATTGCGATCGAGTCACTTCCCAGGGGAAGATGCAAGTGTGTGTGATATACTACCCTGCTGGTGGCCTCCTCAATATGACTTAGTCCCCTGGCACTTGATATTTGACTGACAAGTGTGTAGTATTACTGTCGCTTTCTGTGTAGCAGCAGGCCTGCATGAGTCATTCAGACTCGAGCAGTGTTTTCATAGTTTGAGCACGGGTGGAAAGATGGGAGGTAGGTCAGTGTTTACATCCCTCAGGGGAGACGTAAAGAGCTCCGATATCTCTGGTCTCAGCTGTCAAATGGCAGCAGTAAAGCTCAAAACTCCTGTTGTGTCCGTTCTGTCGACGTCCCAGATCACCTGGAGCTTCAGAGGTGTCCAGCCCCGACGAGCAAATTCTGAACAAATTTCTTAACCGGTAAGGGGACGCCTTATCATACAATAATCGATACCACAATCTCGACGGACATCATTCTGTGTCCTGATACAGCTGCTTTAAATGCGGTTATGTGTTTATCTGCCACTAGGTCACATCGATGCTTTATTAGCAGCTCACCTATAAAAAGCCAATTCTGGCCAGTGGGCATTAAGCGTCACAGAGGAGCTTCTCATGGTGCCCATTTATTGGCTAAACTTGAGCAATTCTCTCCGTTTGGCAACACTGAGCTACCAGTAGTTCGAGTGACAAACTTCCACTGGTCACTATAGTGTTTAACAGTAAGAAGCTCCCCCTGGTGGCCCAATCTGGTACTACAGCTAATGTGCAATACATCTCTATCCAATATATTCGAGGAAAGTTGGGTCGCACCTGATAATTAACGCCAACTGCATTGCTAAAGTTGCCTTTAAACTGTATACCTGGAACTAACTAAACCAAAACTTAACAGTTCAGATTAGCAGCGCTGTCAGATGGATGAGACTTTAACAGTCTATTTAAATGTGTATCAGTGATAGAATTTGTTACTAATGAGTTCTCGCTAAATAGAATTAGAGCATTAGTTGCATTTATTACATCTAACCCTTAACTAACCAGGAGTTTTACTGATTTGGGTTTTACGGAATACTTAAATGTTAATTCTGGTGATTTATGATTCAAATTCTGACATGCTTGAGTTTAAGTGATCTATTGTTGGGCAGAAATTATGGGCTTTGTTCAGACAGCTGGTGAATCAGATGTTTAAAAACTGTCCGCACTGCTATTTTGGAATATCTGATTGGACTTGTGTGTTCAACTTATCTGCATGTGTAGCTGTGGTAAAGACATAAGTTATCCAGACTTAATAAATCAATCTGGACACAATCTGAATACCAAAAAATCTGACTTCCTACCTGTAGGGATCCGTATGCTGATGTCTGACAGCGTCAGCTGGTTGTTTCCCCACGTGAAGGATCCGTTGCTCACCTAAACAAAAACAGACGAAGAGAAACAATCAATAAATTCAACAGCTGATGTTGTGCATTCATTTATTCTCTGCCGTGTTTGTTTCCCACCAACATTTCCATTATGCAACACGACTACGTGCTGTTTTCTTGTTTGTTCAACCGGAGCGCAGCACATGACCCATTTCGTGCCCCGACCCAGAGTTTAAGAAACCTCAGCGGCGAGTTCACGGCTGCGATAACTGCATTACACAAGCAGGAACACACACTGTGTTCGTCGTACGAGGGACCCCGAACCGAGTGTGGTCCCTGTGACGCGTTTCTCAGGTTCTGCAGAGTTCATTTCAGTGAGCGCTGATAAATAAAAACAGCGTTACACAAGAGTGACAGGTGCTGCAGCTCCGCCTGGTCAGAGCCGGATATCGGAAGACTCTGCATCCAGGTTTTTGTCTCTAGCAAGAAATAATTAAAAGGAGAATAATCCCAAGGGTGAGAACAAAATATACATATAACATATGGTTTTATCAGGAAAAACAACCAAAGGAAAGCTTCAAATTGTTATATTTCATCAAAATTATATTTTCATCTGCATCAGTGCCTGTAAAAAAAAACTATTTTCAGGAATTAAATAAAATACTCTGCCGTGATCATTTTTTACCACAAAAAAGTTGGATGACCTTGTTTAAGATTCTCCTTCTCAGACAGAAAGTTTAAGAAATTGATATTTTTTAATGTTGTTAGCAAGTAACGGCCAGTAGTTTGACTTCTTTAGGTATAACAGTGCATTTTAAAGGCTGTAAAATCAATAATAAACTCAACAAAAAGAAGGAATAAATCTACTTCCTCAGCTTCATCGACAGCCAAAAGGAGGTAAACAAATCTATACTTTGATTACCACCAGTCAGACATTACTGACATGAACTTCTCAGACAAATATGATGAAAATTAAATAAATATTTTGTCTCAAATGTGGAAAAAAAGTTTGGAATATTCAGGCATTTGTGTTTATTATAAATACAAAACTAAGTACACGACAGTAAACGGAGTTCTTTAGCCTTCATTGTCCTATTTTTGCTGAGTTTCGTTGCAAAATTGCAGGTCAGAAGTCAGAAATTACAACTCTACCAACAAAGAAATTCAATCTGTGGGTTACAGATGGAAAAATTAACGTCTGATACGAATCTTTCACAGCATTAATTGTCAGGAAATGAGAACACAGACAGAAACGTGCGACGGACGTTTGTATATAATCCCCGTTTCACATCCCTCCTTCCTGCTCAGACTCCGTTTACATTCCTCCCATCTGCTGCATTTATTTGTTTATTTTATGTTTATTTTATCTGACAATTCCCCCCCTCAAGCTTTTCCTCCTCAGCTCCCCGATCCCCAAGACACAGATCCCAAAAGGCTTCTAGAGGCAGGGAACATCTTCGTTTCTGTGTTTTCTAGAGGAGATTACTTAAATCGTATTTGTTCTTTTGTGTTTTAGAGGTTGAGTCATTTGAGAATGATATTAAAACTGATGAGATGCTTCAAGTTCATCTTGAAGAAGATTACAGTCCAGATCTTTTTACACAAAGCAATTAGGAAACAACCAAATCTCAAATAAACACTTCTTTCAGGCATCAACACTGTACTTAAATTATCTTATCAGGATAAACAAACATGCCAGAAATCTCAGATATGAGTCGCGGCTACTGTAAAAAAACACTGAAGATTGTAAAAAGCAGGATGAAGAACAAAGATGGAAAGCAAAGATCAGATATTATCCACAAAAATACAAGTGGGAGGGACGGAGAACGGAAGCTGAGAGGAGATGAGGAGAGAAACGTAAAAATAAGACGATATGAGGTTTCACTGGGAGGTCAGTCAGAATACTTAAAGATTATTTAATACATGATGTAAGAAGCTGCTGGAAATAACCTGTAACTGTTGTAAATAAAACAAGATCAATTTTGTATATGGAATAACAAGAAAACGGAAACAAGTTTAGTTTTCTGAGCCAATTTCTCGACTGGAAAAACAACATACAAACTGTCTGTATGAAGAGGATAAAGACCTTTTTACTCATAAGTAAAGGCAAACAACAGTCACTTTAATTCCTTCAGAATTTCCCTATACTTTACTATGCAATAGAGGCATTCCCACATCATGATGCTGCCGCCACCATGCCCACCCTGAAGCATGGTGGCGGCAGCATCATGATGGAATATACTTTCTTCATCCCACACCTGGGAAACTTACACGCCACAGCAGCATCCAAAAATACATAAAGTACAAGAAAATAATAATAATTAAGTAATATGCATCCCGGTGTCCGCACACAGCAGGTCCAAGGCCCACCGTCTCAGGTTTAGAAATATTTAGAATATATATAGAAATGATTATATAGAATTATCTAGAATTCTATAGAATTATTAAGGATATTTCTATATATATAGAACTTTTTTTTTATTTTTTTAAATTTATTTATAATTTCTATATATAGAATTCTACAACATTCTATAGAATTCTGAATAATTCTATAGAATGTTTTAGAATTCTGTAGAATCATTTATAATTTTTACAGGTATTTTAATAATGAGGATTAGCTTTATAAAAAGGGACTGAAAAACCTTTCTTTCTAGGAGACATTTTAATCTTTAAAATCTTAATGCCTGTTGTGTTTTTACAAGTTTTTATGGGTTTTAATTCCAGTTGTAGCACTTTAAGATAGTTTTTACAATGTAAAGTGTTTTTTTTAAATACAAATCTATTATTATTATTATTATTATTATTATTATTAGCTGATAAAATCCTACACTGACAAGCCAACAAGAACTGTGCTCACTATGGAAGAGCGACCACGTATTCCACTTTTCTAATTAGCAGAGCGTCCGGACGGCAGCGTCACTCCACAGGGATGAAGCAGGAAGAGGAGTCTTCACAGAGGGGCTGAGAAAATGCTGGACACATTCACAAGGCCCTTCACGGGGCAACAAATTCTCGTGTGAATTCTACACTTCCTGAGAAGACAGCGAGTACGTGCACACACACACGGACGCATGTCACATGTATGATCCGGTGCACCCACCAAAGCCCCCGTGGATGTACAAACAGTGCAGATATGAAACAGCTGCTCACGCGCTTAAATAAACAACAACAGCGTTCGGCTCTTCGTCGTCTGTGTTGATGACCTCCTCGTGTGAATTAAACACTTAATGTGAGATGGGTTGGTAATAAATACGGGGACATCCGCAGATCACATGATGGTTTAGTCATTTCTTTTAAAGCTGACATGAAGCAGAACTCAAAAGCAGTTTAAAAATGGGTGAAAAAAACTGGTGAAGATTCTTTCGGTATTTAAAAATATCCATCAAGAGTAAAAGTTTCCCTTTTTCTTATCAATGCAAAGACGAGTTCACGATTAATTCAAACAAAGAGCAATGGGTTAGGGAATGGACACAGGGTCTTACTACAATTCAATTTTAATGAAAGTAGAGAACTTTTTTCCATCGTTGACACTTCGTTGGGCAGATAAACGACTAAAATTATTGGAAAAGTAAAGTCCTGCAGCTACACGTCGAGGCAATAAACCCTTCAAGAGCAATTGAACTGAGAACAGGGAGGTGATTTGGGTGCAAACTGCGTCCGACTGCCTTTAAGGGTGAAGATTTTTTTTTTTAAATTATTATGGCTGTAGCTCTAAAATAGAGCCCCCATGTGTGGTTCAGAGCTTTACACCTAAAACCCGAAACCGTTCAAACCTTTAAAGCGAAGACATCCAAGTCTCCTCGTACTCTATTTCTAACCCAACCCCTCGACTTCAGCCATTCCCCGAACTTCGACCCTGACCTTTACAGCCACGTCCTCCGTCTCCGTCGGCCTCATCTGCCGCCTGGTCGGCTGCTCGTAGTTGTCCATCTGGTAGCGCATCGGCTGCTTCCTGTTGATGGCTTTGGTCTTGAGAGAGATATCAAAAGGACGAGGGAGAGTCGGGATTGAATGGGGGGGGAAGGAGACAGAGATTTTAAGTTAGCATTTGCTAATAAACACAAGACTTTGTTGCATCCGTTTCAGTTCCTCGGGGACAAGACGATGTTGATCAAGTGGTTTCTATCCCAACGCTGCCTCATTATCTTGATCTTATTATCCAGATGCACTAAACGTACAAACATAAAGAACATCTATGTTGTTGTATGTCATGTGAGGTTCCGTTATCGCTGTAAAACTTAGTTCAAGCATCACCAAGAATCGCTGGGAAATCTCTGCAACGTAGCAAAAGGCTGAAGGTCAGTAATCTTAATGTGGCGTCCATTATTTACAACCATACGTGGGTGGAATTAACATAACGCTGCTACGAAGTTTTTATTATTTTGTTGAAGTCTAAACGAGATTTGTTTCTTAGCATTTCTTTAAATTTGCTTTATTTTGCATGATAAAAGCAAATTGTGCAACTAAGATTAAGAGAGACTTACAGAAGAACATGCATCACAAGCAAATACAAAAGTCAAAAACACAAAATTATCAAACACAGGCTAAAAAAACACAAGCAAACAAAGCGTTGTGAGTACAAAGGTTGATATCTTTTTGCTTGATAAAGGGAAAAGTTGCTCGATGGTGAAAGAGGAAGTCTCAGCGGGTTCGTTTATGTTAAATTTAGGATTTTTAACGAAGCGTTGACTTGCAGAGGGAGCCAGAACAAAGGGTCCGCAGGTCAACAAAGTCATTAGCGTTCATGCTCCAGAGACCGTCACATCATGTCTTAAACATAAGCATCTTCTAACTGAAGGAACTCAGGGCAGGCGTGAGGCTGCAATAACGTTTTCAGTCCTTTCAGAAGTTTTATTACAATGGTAGGAGTAGGACTCGAAAGCTTCACCCGTGGTATTAACCGCAAGTGCGCCAAACCATATAGCATGAAGGAAATATATCAATGGAGGTTTGTTACGTTAGCCTACATGGTGAAGTTTAGATGTTGTCCATGTTAGAGAGGAGAAGACTGAATGACGACATGGAGAGAACAGAAACAATGAGCTTGTTGTCTTCTCTGCGCTTCACTGGTCAGCATCCACATTTAATTCAGTTTTATTTATCAAGCGCTATAAAGTTCACAACGTATGTCATCTTTTGGGAACTTCACAGAATTTTTACTGGGGTAACCCATAAAACTACGAAGAAAACCTCCATCAGAACCAGGCTCAGGGAGGGCGGATATCTGCCTCCACCAGCTGGGATGAGAGGACGAGTTTAACAAACCAGCGTTGAGACTCCAAAGCGCTAACACTCAAGTAGGCAGTATTTTCTCAGTCAGCTTTTGGGTTTGGAACAAGTAAAAAGGTTCAGACCACCTTAAAACTTCCCTGCAGTGGACTGACATCTGGTCAACATTGGTGCTATTAGGCCGTGCATGTAATAAACTGCAGCATCGTTGCATTGGTTGGGTTTCTCTTCATGATATAATCTGGCAAAGTCTTAAGCTTTCTATTGAAAAAAGCCCTGAGATGACTTATGTTGTGAATTGATGCTATATGACAGAATTATATCCCGTACATGAACTCCTTTACCTGTCCACTGGATTTTGTAATGACTTCATGAACTGGGTGGTTGGTACAAGACTGTTTGGTGATTCGAGGATATATCAGGTCACAAAGACTCCGACGTTTGATTGATTTAGCAAGCTTCTGGAAAAACACCAGCCCTCTAAATCTGTTTTCTCAATGGGATACTTGCCATTACTTCAAATTTTCAAATGGAAATACAATGGAATTGCAAGAAAATGGCACCAGATGGAGTTGAATGTGAATTAGATGGAATAAAATAATGACAATGGCAACCAGAAAGGCAAGAAAATCATCTCACATATGGAACAAGTGAAAAGTCTGCCACTGTAGTTTGAATGTCATCAGTCTATCTGCAGTGTCAGACATTTTAAGATCCTAACACCAGAGCAACAATCGCTCTTATTTTACAGCAAATACGTCGTTTCCTACCTCGTCTATCAACTAGAGAGGCACATACTCGTTGCATTCCTCTGTGTTCCTCACATTCACCTCAAAACAAAATGCTTCCAAGATTTTCTATTTCTTTCTTCTTGTAAAATAAATAAATAAAAAGCGGTTAAACCAGCCCTATATTAAATTACATTTGCTGCCCTCGTATTAATACGGTTGGATTTCAGTGGCGAGTAATGAGTTTAAAGACGCATTCTATTATGAAAATGGATATTTCGTGTTTTTGCCATTACGCCTCACAATCCCATCCGAAAACCATTACGGCTCTAAAGAGTTCTGTGAGTCACTCGGCTTTGCGGTCTGACTGTCCGTTTTAGACACAAGCGGCGATAATCCCATCGCAACATAATAGTCACCACGTGACTCAGTCGCCTGAAACCTCAGACAGCCGCACGATTAGCGTCTGGGCTGCAGCTCAGTCGGTGGTTTAGTCCCGTAAGACCCTGAAAGGCCTCGGAAACAACTAACACTAATGGAATAACGTGAAAAATTATTAATGTACCAGTAGAAACACCTAAAGGTGGATTTATATTACAGCCTCGGGGCTACGGTGAGTGTAGAAATAACGTTTTAATGATGAATTAATTCTGCTAAGAGTCGCTGTCATATGAGTGTGCAGATGCAGCCACGTTTCTGAAGTGGAACAGCACGTCGTTTATGAAATTCAACTGGAATGAGGTGACGTTAAAAGCGTTTTGAGCTGAAAACATCTGCAGAATCAGACTGAGGAGGTATTTTTAGGTTGAGATTAGTGACTCTTTGATGAACTTTGAAGAAAATTTGCACATTTCTCAACTTGTGTTTGTTTTTCATGCATTAAAATTATCCAGCGGAACCCTTAATATTCACTGGTGGGTTTGAAAGACAAGCTATCTTTAAAAAAAAAAACAAGTTAAATGACCCCATTTATCTGCCAGAAACTGCAAAAACTGAAATAACTGCAGGATTTTCAACTTTCTGACAGTTCTGGTGTGATGGCTTATTTCCTCAACAATATCTGAACATAAAATCGTATATCGATATTCAGCAAAATCACTTTATTCTCCTTTTAAAATTTGCCAAAAATAAACAGTTTGCACCAGATTCTGTAAAAACACAAAACTCTCTTTAGGCTGAACTGCAGGCAGTGTTTTCACAGAGCCAAGAGAGACTGAAAGTAAAATTAAATGCAATTGATGGTTAAAATAAATGCAGTGTGGCTGAACAATGGCAAGCAGGTCATTGGAGGATACATTCAGCATGTTGAAACGTCATCCTACAGCTGATGTGCCAAGTGGTGTGAAGTGGAAGTTATAAAATTAATTTTTCTAAGATAAAAAAATCTGAGAAATTCAGCTTTAATTGTTTGTGATTCATGGCATTATCATGTGTCATTCAGCACAGGAGACATTTCTGGGTTCTGTCCACTTCCAGTCAGGGTGGTTCTGTTTCCACGGAGGTCACACACTCCAGTTTTCAACATATTACCATTAAACACAGATAAGCCACCCTCAAGAACGTTTGAGTCACGCTGACGCCGTTTCCTTTTCCTTCTTTCTCAGAACTCGTCTGGGTGAACCGGACGCCCTCGACATTCACAGTAATTGTGCGTCACTGTCTCGATATGTGATTAATTCCTCGGAGGATCCGTTCGCTGCTCATTAGGAGTCGACATTACGCAGCGTCCCTGGAGAACCGCTCCGTTACCGCGACAACGGGACGGACACGAGTTACCTGGAGTAACACGGAAGGAATGCGAGTCGTCTGGCTCACCTCATCGATCCGAACCTCTGACGGTGATGAAACGCCGGCTGCTAAACTCTGCACATTAAAGCGACGTCTTGGCTCCCTCGGCGAGCTTTGTTAACATCATCTGGTTTAAATACCGGATACGTGTTTGGATTTTTTACTGTTTAAAGTCACCCAGAGGTTATTTAACATGATGTGAAAGCTTTGTTTGCCTCAAACCAGGTTCAAACGTCGACATCAAAACCGTTTGTGTTCTCAAAGAATAATGAGTTTTGCTGCATTTGGCTGAGAGTTAATTAAAATCAGGAGAAACAGCAGACAGTGTTGAACAAATGAGCCCACTCATTAGTGGCCATATAATCTCCCAGGAGTTACACCAAGTTAGCTTTAGTTTGGGTTCCAAGTTGTGTTCCTCTCGCCACCATCAAAGACAATGGATTAAACCTGCAATCTTTCCTCATGAAAGCAACATCAGAGCTTGTCAAGCCAATGAGAGTTTGGTCGGATGGGTCGATATCGAACCAAATCAGCCAATTAGCCGTGAGTCCTGGCCGGCCCGACTGGTGTCAGCATCACTCACCATCCCCAGGTGTTTCTTTCCAGGTTCCAGGGTCACAGATATGTCACCGTTCCTCCAGCTGTCGTCTCCGATTTCGTCACTCTGGAGAAACTCGCCGAGCTTCTGGACGCTGCGGGAACACACACAGAGTGCATTAAAAGTGCGGCTGTGACGATTCCAATTCCGCTAATCTCCGAGGAGTTTAGAGTTTCTCCTCGCTGCTGTCAGGTTTCCTCCCGGTTCCTTTAATTAGATTTACCACTGAAGCCATCTCCAGTCCGTCTTCCTTGTTTAGTCATGTCCACACCACCTCCCTCCCTCTCTCAGCCACAAACATCAATACCAGCTGTCCTCACCGGCAACACCAGCGAACACAACGCTGCGTCCTCACCTGACCAGAGCCTTGACGGCGAATCTGACGACGGTGGACAGCAGGAAGAGAGGAGTGACCAGGATGTGGAACAGCGCCAGAGCCGCGAAGGCCTCAGAAGGAGTCGGGCCGGTTTTGTTGATGAAGTGATGCATCACGAACGTCTGCAAGACACGATGTTAAACTACGGTTGAAGAAAGCAGCACGTTTAACGGGGTTTTAGTTTTGTATATAAGAAGCAGAAGTTTCACTACAAACTGTCTTACCGCCAGAACAGCAGCGATGGGAATCGCAGCGTTCATGAAAACTGCACGGAGAGAGAAAACAGGTTTTAATGCAGCGCTTTCAGGAAAAGCAGGAAAATAATTTAGCAGCTTTATAACATCATTTGCATTATTTAAGGGGTTCAATCCTAAAAATGTTGGAATATTTGGTAGCTATGATCAATAAAAAGAAAAAAATATTGATATATGATTATTTTGTAAATTTTTCATGCAGATATTTTGGTCTTTAAGGTCCTGAGTGTAAGTGTTTTATGTAAACTTCAGAACAAGTAAAAAAAATAAAAAATAATCCATATGGTGATAATCATTTATCATGTGTAAAATATTTCCTTTTTGTGTTTGTTCTTAAAAAAAACAACGGTGGCATCATATAAACAAACATTTTTGTCTTTAGGGTCCTGAGTGTTGTTTTTATCTGACAATGAACGCTGTGACTTTTTCACACTTGATGCACAAGTTGTTAAAGACAAGATATATACTGAAAAAAACACATGAACAGCTGTTATAATTTACCTCTCTGCTAAATGATGCTGTAATAACATTTTCTTCCCACAAAAAATATGCATTTCAGCTAATTCTGAGCCAGGAAAAACCCTGCATGCCTGATATTTCATCCCCAACAGAAGGATTTTTCGCCAACAAACAATAAGTCCTTTTACCTTTAAAAACATTAAGATAAAGAGTGTGGAGTTTAAGTTCTGCAGCTGTCCATTAAAAGCCCTTGTTTTCATCTTACTGGACATCGACGTGTAGAACGCGAAGGTCTTGAGGCTGGTGAGCTCTTTGCCTCTGGTCTCCTCCACGCTGTCGCAGAAGATGTTCTCCCAGGCGTACAGCTTCAGCAGCTTTATGCCTTTTAAAATCTCTGTTGTGGTTTTCAAGCGATCCGTAGAGTGTTCCTGAAAGACACAACAGAAGCTACTGCACATGCAACCAACATTACAAGAGAAAATAGCAACAGACTGCCGTATTAATCTGCAGGTAACGTGACCGATTTGAAAACAAAACAGCTGCATAGGTTCCCTGCTCACCAGCGTGTTCTTCTGTGTGTCTGCCAGCTTCGTAGCTATGAGGTACTGGACCGGCGCCAGCAGGACGATGACAGACGCTCCTACCAGAGCACTCCAGCCCAGCAGATAGTAGAGCAGGATCACTCCCATCACGATCTGCCACGAGAGGAGAAGAGTTGACTGACAAAGAACTGAACTAGACTTAAATAAACAACCTGATAACGTATTTACGAGGTGCATTTGTGTCGATGAAAGTCAAAAACCAAGCCGGATTGAAATATGGCTGCCGTTCCCCGCCAAAGAACGGAGGTCGTGTTTTGTAAACACGCCAAGCAGCGTCTGTAAAACCTCCTGAACTGTGTCATAAAGGCGACATTTCAACTTCAATTTTTTGTTTTGTGGAAGAGGCGTCAAACTGAGCGAGAAGGGCGGGTTGAGAACAAGGGTTGGGTTCTTGTGGCCAAAAAAACTCAAACAGTCGCACCACAATTTAAGCCGTTTGCACCAAAAATTCCCTTCTAAGGACTTTAAGTAGAACTTGCACTGAAAGTCCAACGCTGGGGGAGAAATTTGCGGCGAAAAAACCTGATTACTGTTGGACAAAACAACGAATATGCTCCTAGTCTGATGGATAGACATTGAAAACTGCTGTTTGTCCTCTTGGTGGTAGCCGCAGACCCACCTGCTGCCACCAGTGAAGATCCTCAACATGGAGGTTTGATTATTACACTAAATGTAATGTTTTCTCTCCAGTTTGAAGTCCATGTAGAAAATCCCAAACGCTTACCTGCGATACTATGCTGTCTTACCGCTTGCATATGATGAACAGTCTGACAATTTTTCGATAGAACCACACACAGTTTCTCCTACCTGCACAGGCATGGCCCACAGGTTGGGACAGAGGAAGAGGAACCACATCAGCTGGTTGGTCTCTATAGCGACCAGGTTGTTGATCTGCCCCAGCGTCATCTCCCCCATGGACATGTTGGAGGTGGACAGACGCAGGATCTTGTTGTAGATCATCGCCTGGTTGAAGAACAAGATGCGACGATGACACTTGATGTCACTTTGGTTTCAATCCAAAGTTTTGACTTTGAAATAAAAATCTATTTGAGGGGTTCAGCTATAATCTAAAATCAGTTAAAGTCTGAGTCAAATCAGTCTAAATGAAAGACGAGTAAAAACCCAAACCAGCTTTGAGTTAACTTGATTTTAATACCAGCTGACAGCTGCTGGTTTACGGACACATTCCTGCTTGTTCCAAAGAAAACACCAATAACTTGTGGTGCATTAGTTCCCTATTTAGCTTTTTATTGAAGTAAAATATTGTCTTGTCACTGTCATGCACTTCTCATAAAATAGCTAAAATACATTCACTGGTCGTCTAAAGGAAGATTTGACTCCAGTGCAGCACAATACAAACACGGTTTAAAGAAATTATTCTGTACTTTCGCCATCAATATCTCAAAAAACACAACTCCCAGAGCTACAAAATGTGGCGAGGACACACACAATACTGTTTATAGTTGATCTAAATGATGGAATCACTCCAGCAGAGGCCAAATTTTTAACTATCGTACCTTGAAAATGAAAAAAAAGCAAACTTTTCAAAAAAGGGCTTCAGAAAGTTCCTGTAAGTTCCATATTTCTTATTTTACCAAAAGAGTTTTTCTTTGTGAGGGTGAAAGTATAAAAATCTCCAGGTCTGACAACAGGAAATTTTCAATATTCGACCAGAACAAATAAGTAAACTGCAAACCAAATCTGAGACACTGGAGCAACACCGCTACCTGGAATGACACAAACTGACTCAGACAGTTGAAGCTAATTGGTCTAAAATGCCTGAAGTTTTGTCCACAGAGGATTTTTCTCTGTTTGTGTTCAAAACTGACAACAAAAATCAGCTGGATGACTTTTTACCTTCCAACAAGTGTGCACTAAAACACCTGAACAGCTTCCAACCGTCTGCTTCCTCAGTGTTTAAAATGATCTGCTGTCAGATCAGCTGGATAAAGTTTGTACGAGCTGCCTCAGCTCTGAGGCCTCACAGAGGTTCCTGATGTGGAACTCGTCAAAGCAACGCCTCGGTGCGGAGACAAGACGTCCAGGTTGGATTTTCCGCGATGCTTCACTCACCAGCAGAGCTCCTCGCAGGTTGATGCCCGTTTCTATGGTGACGTAGTACGAAGCCTGCAGGAAGGTTCTCTGCAGGACCAAAGCCAGGAAGAGGAGGACGGCCAGAACCGAGCTGTTCTGCAGCAGCTCCGTGGAGGACATGAAGTACACGCCTAAGTGGGTCTCCTACGAGCACAGACACAACACATGCACTTAAATTAAAAATCTGCTTTGCATTTAATGACACTGTGACAAGATTTTTAGTAATACTTATCAACAGTGTTCATATATTTGTAATATTTGTAGGAGAAATTTTCCAAAAGCACCTTGCAAGTCTTTCCTGTAACATGTTTTGCATGTAAAAACATATTTGCATATCCTGTTAAAACAAAATCTAAGAATGTTTACTTGCATATTTATTGATATTTGAGATAATTCACAAGCACTTGTGCAATTAAGACCTCATTTAATAAAAGCTCATATAAGCTTAGTTCATGAGAAAGACTCTAAATAGAGAAAAAGTGAGAATGACTGTCAAAAAAAAAAACTTTCTAAGCAAAGTGGCTGCAGCAAACATACAGATGTGAGGTTGATATCATTAATTAAGTAACTAATGATAACTATGATCCAATCCATCAGTTAGTTGTTTGGTCTATAAAATATCAGAAAATGCTGAAACATGTCGCCAAAATCCAAGATGGCGTCTTTAAATGTCTTTTTCTTGTCCAAAGATATTCAGTTTATTGTCATAAACCAGAAAATAATCTCAATTAGGACGCTGCAATGAGGAAATTCTGACTTTTTCCGTTGAAAAAATGTTCAAATTGATTCATAAATCATGAGAATAGCTGGTGATTCATTTAATAGTTGACGACTAATCAATGTATCAGCTCAGAAATTGTTTGCTGCAGCTCTGTAACTGTAACTTGAAGCCAGAAAGTTACCATAATGTCCGGACTATAAGCCGCTACTTTTTTCACACGCTTTGAACACTGCGGCTTCAACAATGATGCGGCTAATTTATGGATTTTTACGAATTTGCCTCGAGACGAACGTCACACTGAGAGCGACAACGAATGAGAGACTGAGGAAGTGTGTGACGACGTAATTCTGAGGCTGTTCAACTCTGACACTGAAGCCTTTAGTGGTGTTAGTGCAGGAGGAAGATGAAGATAGCGATCAATAACTTTTCCTGGTAGGCTGCTGTAGTTTTTATTTTCTTACCCAGCCGTGTTGCAGGCACTGTTTGGAAAAAAGCATTTACGCACTTGTGTATGTCACCGGTACGTATTTAATTAAAAGTTTAAAACACCTTTCTGTGTAAATATCTCATGTTACATCATAGACATCTGCGGCTAATAGACAAACTACGGTAATAGGTGCACTCATAAAACTGTAAAAATATTCTTTTTTTTTGGATCCTCATCACATCAGCCGATACATCGCTATAGTTTTTGATATATTTCTTGAGTTATATTTGTATGAAGAGGCATCAAAGCCACAAACACATCAACTATAACACCTTCTCTACAGTGTTGGCGTTCTTTTTCAGCGATGGAGGAAATACACCAGATTCTTCGGGAGTGTTTTTTCTAGATAATCGAAGCAGCTCAGAGACCTAATCCTGCACCATTGACAAACACGAGTGGATGCTACCCATCGGCTCGTAGCCCAGCAGCTGATGAATGAGCCACTTGAGGTGAAGAAGCTAATCGTGATTAATCAGAACGGACGACCTCAGCTTGAACCGCTGCAAAGCGCCATTTGGGTTATTGTTTTACGCCAACATTGAGCTCGAGTGTGAAGTTGAATTTTTAAGATTTATGTTTGATTATTTTGTTGTTGAGCAGACAATATCGTGACCTAAACTTCAGTTTATCAGTGAAACTGGGTAAAATAGCGTCAGAAGTCTCCTGTTTGATGCTCGGCAGTGCCTCCGTCTGCGAGTGTCGGGCGAGTGGGGAATTTTCCATGTCACTCAGACATGCAGCCCTGTTCCGCTCTCTATCTCTGCTGCCCATTATACCCACTTTAGCGGCGCTGACAGCAGCTCACACTCAGCTGGAACCACATGCAGCCAAATGGGCTGGATGAAAACGCACTGTCGCTGCGAGAGCATCTGTTCTGCTTCTCCGACTGAACCTTGGAGGAGGCTGGCACGGCTTGAACAGATCAGCGCATCGTCCTTCGCCAGCTGGACCGTCTGCGAGTGTCTGCTTTGCCTCTGCCGGCTACGGTGTCTTCATTGTGCTGTCAGGAGGCGATATTACCGTTTGGTATCACTGCAATTAGAGGCTTAGTGCAGCCGACTTTGATTTATATACACTGGTGGAGTTCTAGAAATCAATCAGCCTATTTATAGTTTAATATTTAATTAGCAAAACCTGATTTATTTGCATTATTTTGAAATAGTGAAGTGGTTTAAGACATGCTTCCACTCACTACCATTGCGTAGATAAATGGTGTTGGTGCTTATTGTCATGAAAACATTGCAGAAGAAGAGAATTAAGGAGATTATTTAACCCTAAAAAATGGAAATCTATGTGGAAAACATGATTCTAAGTTTATTTCAATGATTAATTTGAGGAACTTCTCATTGGTCGACAAAGATTGGATGTTTTCATCCCTTCAGCAGAAGCTTGAGTGACATTTGTTGCAGTCAACTAAAGAGTATAGTTGGAAAAAATAATAAAAACTAGATTTACTGCCTCGTGCTTGTGCCAAGTTGCAGTTATGGAGTTAAATAACAATCAGAAAAGTGTTTTTGCAGCACCATATGATATGACAGTGAAAACAGCTTTTGACTTTTGTATATAAAACATCATTACTCCACCATTTTATCCTCATTTATCCTTTTTTTTATGTGGTTTATGTGTTTCATGATGTTGCTGCATCCTCAGTTTTGACTTTTGACCACCACAATACAATCAGTTCATCGCTGAGTCCAACTAAACATTTGTGCCAAATCTGAAGAGTTTCCCCCAAAGCCTTCGAGAAACATCATAATTTTTAAGAATGGGATGAATGAACAGACGGGCAACTAAAAACAAAGTGGGGAGGCATAAAAGTCTTTCGTTGCAGCCCTAATTTATACCACAAACTAAACCTACAACAACTGTTAGCGACATTTTAAAGACACCACTGATCCACAACATTAAAACCACCAACAGGTGACGTGAATAACAAACGGATCAACTCTTTACACTGATATCTGGCCAATATTTAGCTTTTAGTTAGCTATTTATTTAAAATGCTAAATTTAAAACACCAAAAACAGAGACAACTCTGCTCTGAAATATAAACACTCACGTTAAAAATCTGTATTTTTATAAACGGTAATTTGCTCTTTCACAGTTTTTCTACTATTGGCGCTAACTTTATATTTATTTATTTTTATATATTTGCTGTAATTTTACAGTTTTTGAACCTGATAGTATTCCACCATTTTTTTTTTTTACAAATTATTATCATTATATTATATTAAGTGTGTTGCAAATACTTTTAACCAAACAAAAAGCACACAGTAAGTATTGCGTGTGTTTTCTTACGCTGCTTTGGAAAATGACGACATTTCCAGAGCGTGGGGACACGTTGAAGGCGTGAGAGTATTTTGTCTGGTTCCTCTTCCTTCCCTGCAGCTTTAGAGTTTGGGTTAAGGTCGGATTAGCCGCGTAGCTGAACTATGTCAACAAAGTCGCTCATGAAACCACATGTGTGCGTGAAAGTGCACGTGTGTGATGTGGTTATTACATTACAGACGTGTTATCGCATCGGATGGAGCGTCCGTCTGACACGCTGTGGTGGTGACGTGATGGCCGACGCCTCGGACTGACTCATTCACCGTCAACCGGACCACCCAACGGCTCTGACGGCGGTGACACAATGTGACCTGTGATGTTTTTACTCATCTGCACTTAACCTCTAATAAAATGATCTTATGTAAGCACTCAACACGACTTTGGTCTCGTCTTCAGCGACATCAGCTTTGCCCAAATATGGGTTTAGGCTTCCAGTGGGATTTCTCTGAAGGGAAAACAAATGACATTAAACTTGTCACACTGTCGCCTGTTAAAGCGTGACTCTATTACTGCTCCAATAACACACTACCTCTACATATTTTAACGTATTGTGTACATGCTACTACATACACAGTGCAACCAACAGTTTTCACTGAGCTTTGTTCCACTGAATATTACATTATGCACTGTCTGACAATAAATCAGACTAAACTTTTCCTGTTTTAGGTCAGTTATGTGACCGGTTAATTGACAACAAGCCTGAGAACACCATCCCAACTGTGAAGCACGGGGGTGGCAGCATCATGCTGTGGGGCTGTTCTGTGCACTTCACACAATAGATGGCATCATGAGGAAAGAACACCATGTAGAAATATTGAAGCAACATCTCAAGACATCAGCCAGGAAGTTAAAGCTTTAAATGGGTCTTCAGATGGACAATGGCCCTCAGCATAGCACCAGATCAGCTACAGAGAGGCTTCAGGACAACAGAGTCAGTGTTGTGGAGTGGCCATCACAAAGCCCTGATCTCCATCCTGGAGAACATCAGTGGAGCAAGGAGACCAACAAACCTGACTCAGTTCCACCAGTTCTGTCAGGAGGAATGGACCAGAACTCATCAGACTGTTGAGAAGCTTGTGGAAGGAAAACGTTTGACCCAAGTCATACAGTTTGAAGGCAACGCTAGCAGATACTGAGGAGATGGATGGAAACTTCTGACTTTGAATTTACCTCTTTTCCTATACTTTGCTGCATTCGTACTACCCTCTACCTTCAGAGCATAGAATGAATAGAAGCGTCCCCACATCATGATGCTGCCACCACCATGCCCACCATGAAGTATGGCGGTGGCAGCATCATGGATGAGACGATATGCACTGTCTTGTGTCCACCAACATCACATCTCGTCTGATGGCAAAAAAGCTAAATTTTGGTCTCATCAGACCCCCTTCCAGCTGACTTCAGGAATGTCAACATAGCTTCTGGTGAACACTAGTCAAGATCTAATACGAGCTTTTTCCAACACCGTCTGTCTCGTTGCCACTCTCTCCGCGACATGATGCCGCCACCACCACGCTTCACTGTGGGGACTGTGTGCTTCAATGATGTGCAGTATTCAGCGACCAACAAACATAGCATCTAGTCCCATGGCCATAGAGCTAAATTTAGGTCTCATCGCAGCAAGAAAATGTTCTTCCAGATGACTTCAGCGTCTCCCACATGCTAAGTTCCCATACAGATGAGAAGCAGTGTTGAATTCTATTATTTCTGACTCCTAACTGCTTTTGTTTGCTAAAAGGCTGCCCTCAGAACCGAATCACTACGTCAGAAACAAAGAGGGGTTTTTCTGCTCTGGTAATTTGCAAAAGATATTCTCTGTATTCTCTCAAAACCTTGTTTGCTTCTTGGCAGCAGGTTTGAAAACTGTGCAGATGATGAAACCCAAAACCATGAACAGATGCTGAACTCCCAGTCCCTCCAAACCCTCTCATAAGGGCACAAAGCACTAATTACACAAACAGTTCATTTCAGAAAGAAAGGTTGAGAGACAGCTAACTGTAACTGATGTAACTGTGAATGGAATTTCTCTGTAAGGGATCAATAAAGCATTATTATTATTATTACTATTATTATTAAAATCATTAGTATGGCCTATAAATACAAGAGGCAATATCTAAAGAATGCAGACTCTGCACAGAGACCTTGTTTATTAAGTATTAATGTCAATTTGGACTAAATTGTTTAAGAAAATAAGCTTTAATTTGATTGTTCATAGCTCATACTTCAGTCTAACCACAGTAATGAGCCAGAAATTGATGTATGAATGAAATAAAGAAGCTGGAACACGGCTCATTTAAGCTCCACATAATGTAAATGCACTCGTCCTCCCATTTTAAAGCTGTGAGAACACAGTGACCAGGGTTTTTCTTGGCTCTAAATGGGCCTTTGGGGGTTGACCAGGCATGACAGTAAGCATGATTGGTCGGCTTACAGTAAAGACAATGCGTCTTTGTCGCCTTATTTGACAGATATCTGTGCATTTTCCATTTTTTTTCTAACAACTTCTTTTACAAAGTGCATTATGTTTGAATTAATGTAACTGCAACCAAACAAACTGGTGAAAAAAATTCCCAACTTTTATCCTTTTGGTGATTTCCTTGGCTGCATTTTAAAAGCTCTTCGAGGAGTTTGTGACTGAGGCCCAACAGAAAACAAAGCACACAAATACCTTTATCTTGTCAGCGGACACAACTTCCTCCTTAGACGTCAGGTGCTGCACGATGCCAGAGATGCAGAGAGGCCCGGCGAAGCCCAGCAGGTCGGCCAGGTAGCGGAAGGTGCTGCTGAGCAGGATGGGCCGGCCGAACGCTCGATACATGGAGCGCCAGATCGACGGAGCTCGATCAGGATCCTCGGCCGTCTATAGAAGCAGAAAAGGAATAGAGAGGAAATAACAGAAGCATGTGTTTGCTTTCACCCAGCTGGAACACTTCACTGTCGGTTTAAGGCGCCCGGCTGCTCACCCGCTGATCCTCGTAGGCGTCTTTGAGCCTCAGGTAGTTGGTGAGCGCCCTCATGGCGATGGGCAGCTTGCCGATCTTCTTCAGCTCTATCGGCCTCTTGTGGGCTCCAATGATGAGAGGATTCATCCACCAATATGTCGCCTGGAAAACGTGCCAAGAATTTGTTTTTGTGCTGCCAAGTGGTGTTCCAGAAAGATTTGGTACAGTAAATATTGACTAAACAGACAGGAAGTTGGGCTTCAGCTTGATTTTTGTTTTTTTTTGCTTGTCGTTTGTGGTCTTAAAACAACATTATACTGTACACTTTTAGCTAGTTGCCATGAAAGCTAGTTTTGAAAATCTACCTTGGACAGCAGGTTGACAAACGGCTGCAGAAAGCGAACCCCCAAATCCTGCAAATCCTCCGGTGGTTTCACCTTCTGAGGGTTGGCAAAGAACACGTATTTCTACAGGGAGACACAAGGACACAATGAGTCCAAGCTAAACAGATGGAAATGTCGCTACATTAGCACAGACGAGCTCAGAAAACGAAGACGCTGTTCACTCACCCTGACTCTGATGACGTTGATCTCCACGGCCATCAGAAGCCCATACAGGATCACCAACAGCGCCGTGATGCAGAACCTCAGGTGCTGTGGGCCCACTTTAAACTCTGCGAACTTCCACAGCTTGATGGACTTCGTGATGAACGCCAACACCCAGTAGATGAAAAGGACTGTGAGACCAGAGCAAAGTGCGTGATATTAATAGATGTTGCTTGCATTGCTGATTTGTGTATTTGGAGCAGATGAACAAAAGGCTGCAAATCAAAAGTCAGCAACCACCCCTTTACCACCGGGGCAGGTTTGGGGGCCAGTTCGGAGCAGGTGTCTAATCTTGAACCAGTTTTTCTTGGTTCAACTGCCCAAGAACCAACTTTTGGCCAAAAACAGCTGGTTCGAGAGCAGCACCAACACTCATTCTTTAAAGGAGAACCAAGAAGTGCTTATGTCCAGGGCTGGGGATGGGATGGACTAAAACCTTGTGACCACCATTTTTGTTTGGCTAGTAATCAAGAAAAGAAGAACAAAAAAAGAAGAAAGAAATAGGAAATTGAGGCAGCAGCATGTGGAAAGCCGATGATTTCATTTCATCCCCGCATCATAATGCTGCCACCACCATGCCCACCGTGAAGCCTGGTGGTGGCAGCATCATGATGGTGTTTGCAACGATATGCCTCCGTCTTGTGTCCGCCAACGCTGCATCTAGTCTGATGGTCAAAAAGCTAAATTTTGGTCTCATCAGACCAAAGAACCCTCTTCCAGTTGACTTCACTGACTTCAACATGACCTGTTTTATATTCCTTGCCATCTGATGCTTTAAAATTACTCCCTTGTAGTTGATTTAACCCCGAGAAACTCATCTCTGTCTATCAAAGTTACATATTTAGAAGTTCTTCCCAAAAGTGAAACCCTTCCTCTCTTAAAATGACTTAGAAGTAACTCAACAAAGTCCTCAAGGTGGGCTGGAAAGAAATAAAACACCTACATGTCTTTGATGTTCAGAGCTGCTCATGTCCACATCCACAACTAAGTATAACCAAAGCTTAACAATGCCCTTAGTGTCCGTCCAACAGCAGTTCTTAATAATCTACAACGAGATTCAAATACAAGAACTGTGTCTGAACAGATGTTGTCATGACATAAGGATACGGCTCGATGGTGGCTCGAGTAGTCTTTAGAAGGTTTTGAATTAGTAGCTGATTTTCATTAGCAAAAACCGGATAAATACTCCCTCTGCTATGAACTACAGAACACATTTAGCAATACATTAAAGGGGAACCCCAATGATTTTACACATCAGAGTCTTTTTCGAGGTGAAAAAAGAAAAAAAAAGTAAATCTTGTCCATCTGAGGCTAAAGGATCTGAGCTAAATTAGCCGCTACTAGCATAACATACCAGAGGTTCCAGTAGCATTTAAAGGTAGCACAGGCAGTAGCTACAAGGTAGATATAGATATAAAGATGGTATCTCTGTCATGATTTTCATCCTTTTTTTCATAAATCCTTTTCTGGCGTGAGCACATGAGTTCCTTTTTGTGAATTGTGAGGACAGATTTTTTAAAAAAAGAAGCAAAAACTCAGATTGGAGTGACATAGCCTTGAAGCCTCCTTCGTCTTACCGAGCAGCAGTTTGGGGAAGTTGGACGTCTCTATGTTGTGGTAATAAACCACCGACGTCGTGGCTGCTACGAAGCCCATGAAGGCCGGCATGAAGAGATGGAGGTGGTTGCTGGACATCACCCTACAGCAAGAGGCAAACACAGAATATATAATTAACGTGCAACGTAGCAAACAAAGCTAACTTCACCAGAATCGTTCATTTCACATTTACGGATGGTTTAAGTAAAACTGCATCTCGTGCGATGCCCTCACTTGTTGGAGACGATGCCTTCGGCGAACTCGCACACGTGGATGAACAGCAGCAGGAAGGTGAGGATCCACCTCATGTTGTGTCCGGGGAAGTGAAGCCATGTGTTGTGATGGATCTGCACCTTGGAGCTCTGACTGCCCCAACCTGACCAACAGACCGACACAGAGACCATGAAGCAGCTGGTTCACTGCAATTATCATCAATACAATCAAGAAAATAGCTTTAAACACACAAATCATCACAGAGAGTTGCTTCAAATGCACAATTGTTCACCTTTCTACCATGAAACTGGAGAAAATATTGCATAATTTAATACTTTTACTCAACGTAAAACCTGCATTTGGTGAGTTTTATCGCATTATGAAGTACAGATCTCCTTTTATATGCATCTTAATTAACTGGAGTTAGTTGTTTTCTAACTTTAATCAATCTATTAGAAGATCTATCAGGTAATATGATAAAATTAGTAATAGAAAAGTTCCAAAAACACACAAAAATCCAAAAGAAACTATGATAGATACTAAAAAATAAACTAAAACAACATATAATAGACACGATTAGTAATAAATGGGGAAAACTTCTTTAAGTTGAGGCCACTTTTGCTTGAAAACTTACACAAAATTATATTTTTGTCTTGTATAGGGAGGAAAATCTTCAGAAATTAAAATATTTGCACCACTAGAAATCTAAAAGTCTTAATAAAACCAAAAACTTTCTCTAATTTAAACACTTTTCAGGTACAAATTCACACATAAACAACCATTTAATTATATAATTAGGGTTGCAAGTAATGATTATTTTCATGATTATCCTGCTGTTTACTTTTTGGATAAATCGATTGATTGTTTGGCATCAGGAAGCAAAGGATGATGCTTTAAAATATGTCGTTTTGTTTCATCGACAGCCCAAAAACCTCCCAAAAATACTCAATTTTTATCACATTAGGCAGCAAATTCTCACATTTGAACCATCAAATATTTGGCTTTAACCCAAATATCAAAATACAGCAGTTCCAGATGGACTTCCTGCGAATCGTTTAATCGCAGCGAACACGACGTGAAAGCTAAACCTCGGTCCAGACCAGCACCGCAGAGTGGTATCTGTGCGGATTGTGTTTCTTATTAGGTTTGTTTCTGCTCTTAACTAAATGGATCGAAGCCATATCGGAGGCTCGGAGCACAGAGACCATAAAAAACCAGAACCAGGAAGCATCAATTAGCGAGTCCTCTGGGAGCACACTGAGGGCTTATGGTCAGAACCATTCCCATAAACTACTGAGTAAACACACACGGACGCACACATTACACACTCACACAGCCGATAACCAGCAGTACATCCAGTACAAGTCATTCTCTGCAAAGTAAAACAGCAGAAAAACCCACTAAACCTACAGTAAATACGATTTCTTCTTCCTACAGAACTGAGTTTAAGCACCGACCGCGAACCTCACGTCACAAAATCTTCAGTGTTATTGTTCATATTCAGTGTTTCTGCTCCACTTTGTTTTCCTGCATCCGAGTCCTTCACCCGTGGTTCAAATCCCATCTTAACTACACTTCAAAGCTGCTTAATGTTCACACTGGTCACAAGGAAAGAACAGTGAGTCCGACACGACGGGAGAAAGATGGAAACCGACACATCTGCTCCGGCTGCCAGATTACACGAAGCGACGCCGGATTACAGTGACTCACATCGCTGCGTTTCCTCGTTCGTTTCTACCCCAGAGGCCAGTTTTCTGCTCTTTTTACTCCCTTTCTGACTAAATTTCCTGTCAAGAAACTCAAAAAACAGATCCCGAGTTGGGTTCTTGCATTTTACAGAATCTGAATCAACTCTACAAGATTTACGCTCAGATTTCAAGCATAGAGAGCCAAAGAAAAACCACAATTTCCATCTAAATTTATAATTTACTCCTTATTTACTGAGCAGTAGGGCTGGAACTACTGATCACTTTCATTATCGATCAGTCTGATGAGCTGTTTGGTCGATAAAATGTTAGAAAAATGTTGATCCATGTTTCTCAAAGCTGACAGATGTCTTGTGTTGTCCACAAACCAAAGACATTCAGGAGATGAAACTAGAAAATATTCATATTTAAGAAGCCGGAGGAAGCATTTTTGCTGCTTTTTCCATTAAAAAATTGGTCAAACTGATCAATCAACTACTGCTGACTTCTAATCAATAATCATCAGTGGTTCACCAACACATATAAGGAATTTACCACCACTGAAAATATCTGTATAATCAAACTGAATGCAGCTCAGGACGAACACTGAAAGCTAAAACAACTCAGCTGAAATAAGACAGAAGCGACGGCAGCCTCCGGGTCTTTACATGGAAGAGGTTGGCGGCCCAAAGGTTGCACCGGGATGAACTCTTCCAGACAAAGGACGGAGCAGATTACTCAACTTGTGAAGCTGCAGCTGAAATAATGCGCCTGCAGCAACATTTGCCATTTAAACCAACAAAAGCTCGAGAATATGAAGCCTGCTGCCGGACGGGTCGGACAGTTCACCTTCAGAATAAGAAGAAGTAACCGACCTGGAGCTGGATCCAAGATGGACGGAGCTTTATGAAGCTGTAATCAGTGCAAATACATGCAGATAAAAACATTTCTACACATTAAAGATTCATCTGTCCATCAGTTATTGTTGGACGACGTACTGCACATTTATAACCCAGAAGATAAACTGGTGTAGCCGCAACCGCAATAAAATCTCTGAAGTTATTAGTCCATAGTGGGCAATCTTTAAGTTCTATGATAATGAAAATGCTGCATTTTAGCCTGATTTCTGCATCAGTCTGACAACATTTCTTGTGATGGATCAACAGAAAAAAAAACAATCCTATCTGATTATTTTATCTCTAAACACGGCTCTAGTCTGCCACCACTGTGGTCGCACAACCAAAAATCTGTCAACATCAACTTAGTGTCACGATTTTCATTGATTTAACGGGTCAGTCTGTGTGACTCTGGGCAACCTGTTCAGGTAAATAAAATCAGTCCAGTGTAACTGAGTAATCTGATGTGAAAACGCCTTATTTCTCTCTTTTAAAGATCATTTTTAGAGACAAAAAACAGCCTCGTAGCATAAGAAGCATTTACGGAACGTCTGTAAGTTGTAGCGTCTACCAATGAGGCATTTAGGGAACACGGGCAAATTAAAGCGTCCACTGATGCAAATGAGGCATTTAGGGAACCCCTGCAACTTAAGGAACATCGGTAACTTGTATGTTTACCGATGCATGCAAGACTTTTTTTTTATTAATATCTGTAAATTGTAGCATTTACCAATGCACGTGAGGCGTTTAGGGAACATTGGTAAACAGTAGCATCCACTGAGAGAAGGACTGTAAATTAGAAAACGTCCACCAACACGGACGAGGCGTTTATGTAATGTTGGCAACTTGCAATGAGGCATTTACAGATGATCCGTAAATAGAAGCTACTGAAGCATGTGAGGTGTTTATGTAATATCGTTAAATTGTAGCGCTACCAATGCATGTGATACATTTGAGGAACATCTGGAAATTGTAGCATCTGCTAATGTATCTGAGGCGTTTATAGAAAACTCGTAGATTGTAGCATTTAGTGATGCATGTGAGGCGTTTACAGATGATCAGTAAATCGCAGCTACTGCTGCATGTGAGGCATTTATGAAACATCAGTAAACTGTAGTGCTACCAATGCACGTGATGCATCCAAGGAACGTCTGTACGTTGAAGCGTCTACTTCTGCATCAGGAAACAAAACTGAAAACTGTGACGTCGACTGATGCACGTGAGGCGTTTATGGAAAACCCGTAAATTTTAGCATTTAGCGATGCATGAGAGGCGTTTACAAAAAATCTGTAGATGAAAGCGTCCGACGATGGATCTCTGTGAGGCATTTATCGATCAATCGCAGCAGCTACCGATGGAAGTGAGGCGTTTCGGTGACATCTGTAAATTCTAGCTCCAGAAAACAACCTGCATGACGCTCTGCATTCACATCACTACAAGTAAGTTCTTGTGGAAAAAACTGAGCTATGAGAAAACATCATGAACGTATTGAAAAGTTACTGACTCTTTAATTTAAAAATCATGTGCATCAGTGAAATTAATGTACAAAAAATTTGTCTGAAGCACTTTAAATTCCTCATTATGTGCTTTTATATTGTGATATTATATCCACCATCTATGAGTCCATTCTATCCTTTACGGGGTCACATGAGGTTAACGAGGAGTTTCGGTTTAACCCGGATTAGTTTCTATGATGTTCGTATGATCTAAACATCCCGTAGCAGCTAAAACACAACGCAGTGAAACAACGAGACCAAACTGCGACTCTAATCCTCTCTGGATTAGTTCAGTCCTGACAGCTGCAGCGACTTTCTGAGACTTTCCAGCAGAAAAGGTGAAGCTCTAAGAGGCTTAAGCAGGAAACACTTGATCGTCTGTCAGAACACACGATCAGAGACTTTTCCTGCAGAACCACACAAAACAAACCTTTATGTGGACTTAAAAAGATAAATATGCTCCAAAATACACACAAAACAAACAGCTTTGACAGTAAAAGTCCAGTTTTTGTGAAGCAAAGGAGACGTCTTGCTTCTCGTGGTTGAACCTTTTCAAATTAAAAGCATATTGTTATGTTTAGATTGTGAATTTCTGCAGCCACCAGCGGATCGCCGGCATCATCCGTTAGCGGATCAATCAGATCATTTCCAGTGTTTTCAGGCCGCCTACCGATGAAGAGGATGGGGAAGGTGATGAAGAGCAGGAAGACGTGAGGAACCAGGTTGAGGGCGTCCACGAAGCAGCCATTGTTCAGCACGCCCTTGTCCACGCTGTAGGGATTGAGTTCCTTGCTGTTGCCACAAAACGACAAGGCCATGCCACCGCCGGGCCGCTCCGCTCGAACCGGGGAGTCGATCTGCGGAAAAACATGGAAACAACGCTCTTAATCTGATCATTGAGTCCGTTCGCTCTTCAGCGGTTCTTTACGGTGGAGCTTTGAACACAAGGTCAGGCACGGTCGTGGCATGCGACGCATTCAAGTGCACATAGACGCAGTCTGGTGTGAAGCACGGAGGCTATTTCAGGGGCAGCGGCGGCGACACGCTGCCCGGCTTACGGAGGCTAAATGTTGAATGAATGTTAAGAGTTGGGAAGGAAACACGTTGGATTCAAGCTGTCGACTGAACTGTTATATTACATATTGTTCAGTCCTCCTGTTGTTTAGGGTTAAATCTGAGCGTAAACGTCCTTCAAGAAAGTTCAAGCTTCTATGAAACTCACACATAGGCGCTAATATGCTTTTCCAGTTAGACAACTTCCACTGTTGTTGCTCTGAAAACCGTCATCATCCCACAGAGCGTCCAGTTTAAATAGTTCCTAATGAGGACGGAGTGTACGTGGAATCGTTTTCCAAAAGTTTTAAATCAAAAACTTTTCCAGAAGCAGTTGGAGTCGCCGCTTTTGCTTCTTCGTAAAGCGACCGATCACGTGGTCGATGCCAGTTTGTCGTTTATTTGTGGTTGCTGTGCTGCTAGCGCCTGAAAGCTATTGAGCGCTAAGGACGATTTCTTATGACTTATCGGTTATTTTTGAGTAATTTCATCACTAAAAGAGGCATCGTTTTGGTTTTCTAGGGGCGAAATATGACAAAAAACCTCCTGGTTTCTGGGCCGCTGAGGTTTAAATAAAGTTCTTCGACCTGCAGATCAATTATTCATGTCGCAAAAGACGATTAAGTCAATCCTCAACTGTTCTGATAATCGCTTGTAGCAAATTTTCCGGAAACAAAAAGTCCGGCTTCAAAAATGTGATTATTTTTTGGTTTTCTTTACTTCCCTTCTGACAGTTAACTGAATATCTTTGGGTTGGAGATGAAATAAAACATTTTTTCTGACATTTTATCGACCACACAACTCACCAGTTTATCAAGAAAATAACCAACAGATGAATCAACAGTTAAAATAACTTTACACTGGATCATAACTAGATTTACAGCCCGATGACGTGCCCAGTTTTATACACCGATATCGGCCCGTCACAGATATATTTGTGTCGTTGTCCAACACATAGCGATGTTACCAAACGTTTTTACAGAACGTAATTACGGAAAAGATGCTTGGAGTGATTTAGAAATGGTGCCATCACTGAGTTTGTCCAGTAGAGTACGGATCTTCATAAAGAAAGAAATATAAACGTGTAAAACTGAACAAATTTATCAGGTTTCGGTTGCTAGGAATCATTATGTTTACTGGGATTATTTTGGTAAAATATTGGCCCAGTGTTATTTCTGTGACTCTAAATAAACACAACCATCCTTTATTTTTTCAAATGTAATCTACGAAATCATTCACAGCGGTGTTTTGTCTGGACAAAACCATTTCTAGCCAAACACATACACCAGTATTTTTAAAAAAGCAATTTAACTGCAGCTTCTGTTGGTCGCCGAATAATTCCTCCACCGAAAAAAGCTAACATTTTTTATTAAATCAAAATGACAGCTGTCGATTAAACTGCTCGTTTTCTCGATTAATCGATTAGTTGTTTGATCGACGAAAACAGTGAGAAAAAAATCAGCCCAAGATGACGTCCTTAAACGTTTTGTTTCATTCACAACCTAAAGTTCACTGTCACGGAGGAGGAGGCGAGATACAAGACAATATCCACATTTGACCTTTTGTTTTCTTCAAAGAATACTCAGACTAATTAACAGCTGACAAATAATCGATTAATCGCCTCACACGACACAAAACAACAACCTACAAGAACACGAATAACGTCAATCATGATTTTTGCTGTACTATTTTACAAGTAACTGGCTGTAGTTTACTTCTATTATGATAAATTTGTGGGTTTCGATGTCGTTTATTAGTCGTCTTGATGTAAACGATGGATCGGTTTCTGTTAAAGCAGAATTTCATCACTTTTTACACTCGAAGGTTGTATTTTTATTTTATTTTGGAAACAAAGATGGTGACCACAACACTGCCAGTCATCTTTGTATTAAAAGAAACAGATTTATTTTGTATTTTGTTGAGAAATTATCACAATTTCTGACATAACAACTGACTGAGAATAAGAAGTGACTCACTACAGAGAAATACATCCTGTCAGGAGGATGTTGTCAATAAAGTTTTTACAATTTCTATCAAACATTAAAACTTTCAGAAGCTATTAAAAGTGCCAGTTTAAATTTCAATTGGTTTAATATTCAATATAATGCGTGTTTTCCTTATTATTGCTGCTTTAATTAACTTAACATGGTGTCTACTTGATAAAAGTGAAACTGTTAGCATGAAGCAGTTAGCCTCGGCTAAAGTTTAACATGTAAACGGAGCTAACAGGTGAATTTACCTTCAGATTTTATTAAAACAACAACACCTGAGTTAGCCTACAGACTAAATAAGTGTCTAAATACTTTCAGAAACACCACATGAAGCTGCTACATAATTCAGAAAAGCTCATTTAAACACCAAACAAGCCAAACAAGCCAAACAGAGCCGTTAAAAATCAAGCTAGCTTAAAGAAAACGGCTAAAAAAAATTAAAAAGTAAAAGAGTCTTACCTCGAAGTAAAGTAATAATCCTCAGTGACAGCGTTTCATTCCGGATGTCTGGGTTTAAAAAGGAGGAAAAAAGACAGAAAACAGACCGAAAGAAAGAAAACAGAGGAGTAGAGATAAAACACAGAGTATTAAAAAGGGAAAAGTTGATTATTTTTAGCCCCGCTGGAGCTTCAGCTGCTCCGTTTACTGCTGCCCGACTGGAGGCGGGGTCAAGTTACGCGCTGCACGACAGTGCGCTTCCGGTACTTTCCTTCAACGTAAAAGACTCGAAAAATTAATGTTGAAATTAATACAAATTTGAAAAGGAAAAAAGAAACGAAATAGTAAAGTAATCACTCACAATTCTCCCTTAAATTTACAAAATATTTGTAGTGTAATATTTCTGTTTTTCTGACATTAAGTGGAGTTTATTTGGCCTTTACATTTTGTGTTTACTTGTTTGCACCAACAAATTTCTCATATTTGAAAACCTGTTTAACAGATTATGATCATGATTTTCAGTTGGCACATTGTCTGCATTCAGATGAGGTCAAAGTTCGGGTTGAATGAGATTTTAATCGGCAATCTGCATCATGAAAGAGTGACATAAACTAAAATATTACAAGAATATAAACATGAACAACGTTTCTATTCACAATTAAGACATTATTTTGTTAGAACAGTTTTCATATCTGTCTACATTTTGTTGTTCTTCTTTGTTTTATTGTTATTTCATTGTTTAGATATATTTGTGAATCACTTCACAACCCTGCTAAGGAGGGGAAGAAAAGAGGAAAATAAATAAATTTGTTAAAATAACACAAACTCTAGCAGCTGAACCAACTCTTGTAATTTAATGTGTGGATTTCAGGACTGCATTGTGAGTACCTGATAAGTGGTACCCTTGAAAATAGATCTTTGTGCTTTGGAGCAAATAATATAGCAGCTATTTAAAACTGAAGAAGCCTCATGGATGAGAAATAACGTTTTTGCAACTGTCTGTGTCCATATTGCAGATATTCTTCTTTGTGGGATTAAATCTTTTTACATCTACAGTATGTTCAGCAATTTCCCCACCCTGAGCAGCTTTATTTTGATGGATGCGCTTCCGGTACAAGTGCAGTAACTCTGGTGAACTTGACTCAACGCTGCCTCCTATCAGATTTCCAAACTTGCAGCAGCGCAGCGCTGAGATGAGGGTTTATTATAAGCTTCTGGCATGTCTGCTGCATTTACACACCCGCAGCTGAAGTCATTTCACCTCATGTGGGCGAGATTTTACAAAACAGTTCTCTCTGAGACATGAATAATTGATCGTTTGCATGTCTGAGAACTTTATTTGAAGCTCTGCAGCACAGAAACAAGGAGGTTACTGGTGTTTTGTGTTATTTTTTGTTATATTTTGCCCCTAGAGTATAAAACATGTGTCTCTTTTACTCTTAAAATGACTCAGAAACAACAAATAAGTGAGCCTATGAATATCAAACATCTAAGACAAGGTTCTGGAATCATCCTCAGTGCTTTAACCTCCTGCAAAGATGCTGTTTTTTGCGTAATTCTAATTATTTTTAGTGTTAAATCTGTAATCTGATTGTCTGTGGGTGCATGCACAGAGCACCGTGCACAGTCACCCGTGAACTGCAGCCTCCTTTAATGAAGGAGATTGCAGGATTCACACGCTTTCAAGCCGCTTTTCTTTCCACTGATATTGACATGGGGAGACCTTGGAGGAGCGCAACCCCCAGCCTCCCACTGGACCGTCAGTCGTTCATGTAAACTGCAGCATTCAGTCCCAGCAGAGAAATGCATGTCTGCATAAATATCAAAAGCAAACACTGGAGCAGTGACAAACCAATCCGGTGTCTTTTACGTGTCATACAATGTGGCTCAGTCGCCCCCTTGTCGAGAGGTCAACAAGACTCCATTCACAAATCAAGCAATTTAAAGTTTTCCACGCCTGTAGACACATATAATTAAAAATCACAAGTGATTATTATTTTTGCTAATCTTGTTCGCCTCACTCTTAAATTCGGCATGGACAAAAAAGAATACAGAACGATGCATCTTCTTAAATCTGTCAACTTTTTGAACAGTCCCGCGTAATTCAGTCAACCTCTCTCTTCCGGGTGTAGGAAGGGAGAGCAGCGTGAATCAAGCTCATATTCTGCTGAAATATTCATGCTGATGGATTCTGTAGTAGCCGAAATGAAGATTAGTTCCCAAACATTTAAAATATTATAACGACACTATTCTTAACGAGCACACCTTTACTGGGGAGCAAAGATAATTCAAATTGCACGTTTTTCAAATGAAGTCTGGTGACTTAAGAGAGCGTTCTTTTAACTAAAGACGTCGTGTTTTAACAGCCCGAAGATGGCTGTGAAAGACAGAAGGGTACAATAGCAAAGCGAGACACTTACCCGGCCTCTGGTGCAGGTTTGCGAGTCGGAGCGTCCTTTTATTCCCTCCTTAGAATAAAGGTGGAGGCAGCAGCAGCAGCGTCTCTCGGTCACATTTACTGGCGCGTCCTGTCGCTGTTATGGCGCTCCGGCGGCGCACTGCGAGCACACACTCAGCTGTGATGGAAGGCTCTCTGCCATGAAACCATTCATAGTGGAGGATGATGATGATGATGAAAATAAAAATGTAGGTCAAACTAAAGCCGAATGAGCGCTGCGGAGCCGAGGAGGCTTTCTGCGCTCAGACACGCTGTTTTCAGGAATTTGATGCGTCTTTGGTCAGATTGTGTGAAGGTGAACTGAGAACAGCAGCAGGTAAACAAAGAAACACCTGCTGGGGTTGTGAATNGAAACACCTGCTGGGGTTGTGAATATGACAGCACTGCAGCTTGTGTGGAAAATAAAGCAGATTTTATGAAACCTGGAACAATGACAACACATTTATTAACATTTTTAAATGGGTTGAAAGGTCACACTGTAAAAAAAACAACAACATTTTGACAGATTTTTACTGTGATTTGTTCAGAACAATTTGCAGTTATTTTACGGACTTGTTTTGTTAAATCACATTTAATATTTAGTAAAATCATAAGGGGAAAAAAGTGTTCATATACATGTTAACCACAAAACAACAGCTGCAAAGATGTGTATCTTTATGAATGGTAGTTTTCAAAGCTTTTACAATTGTTGTCTGTAAAATGTAACTGTTTAATTCTATTTAAATGAGCAAAAATGTCATTACTTTACAGATATTTTAAGGATAAATTATGTATGCTTGTTATGTAAGGGCTGAAAAATGCTGTTATTTTCCAGATTTCCCTTTTTTATTAAATATAGCTGATATTATTTAAACATATAGTGTTTTACATTTTACATGTTTGTTTGTTTGGCCGTTTTGTCTTTATTGTAAAGGACAGTTGAAAGACAGACAGGAAAGTGGGGGAGGACAATGGGGGGAAGGGGTTCCAAGAAAGGGCCATGAGTGGGACTGGAACCTATGGCCGCTGCATTGGGGACTGTAACCCCTATACGTGGGTCACCAGCTGAGCTACAGCCGCGTCCCTACAATGTACATGTTAAATAAGATTTTTTTTTAACAGAAGACGACGCTGTAAATAATGTTCATATCAAAAACCTGTATTTTTACATGAAGTAATTCGTTTGTTTGTTTTTTTTTATGTTTTTTTTTTTTTTTAAATTACAGTATTTTATTTATTTGTTTATTTGTTTGGTTGGTTGGTTGTTTATTTATTACTGTATTTAGATCTGACGATGATGATGATGATAATAACAATAAATTACAGATATAATTGTTATTTTTGCCCCTTTTTTTCTTTTTACAGATTTTAATGTTACAGTATCTCACCATTGTTTTTTGTTTTTTTGCAATCTTCCTGTTGCTGCCAGATTTATTTTTTTTGTTTAATTTTTTTAATTTACAGATTTAGTTTTTACAGTACAGTAGCATTTTTAGGACATTATTTCTATTACCCTGTTTATTTGGTGACAGCGCCACCTACTGAAATAGACAACAAAAAGAATAGCAGGTTGCCTTCTATAGCAAGTTCTGCTTAAACAAAAGAAGAAGAAAATACAATTTCATTGCACTTAAAAATATTTTAAAAATTGTTTATTTTACAGATATTTGCTGTTATTTCCCCAGTTTTAGAATATGACAGCAGTGCACTTTTTTCTTTTTTGATTCTTTTACTTTTTTTAAAACGTTTTTTTTAACAATATACTTAAAAAACTAAAGTATCTCATGGTGTCAAAAATGATCTCCCAAGTCCCCAAAGTTACCGTGATTGCGCCCCCATGAGGTTGGAGGACCAGCAGAGTGGATGGGGGATGCCGGGGCCTGGGACCGGGCCGGCGTCCCAGCCGAGGGCCAGAGGTGGAGGATCCATGTGAAGAGTGGAAGAGACGGTGTGTGGGAGGATCAGTCAGTGTGTGTTTACAGCATCAGGAGGAACAGTGTGAGGAGATTCCCATCCGGCAGTGTTTCCCAAGAAACTGTCGGGGGAAGAGGTTGACCTCCGTCCTCTGACACACACACAGCGATGTTTCCATCACTTCAGAGGACGTTACGCTCACTTAGATTGATCTCCACGGTGCCTACAGAAAGCATTCACACCCTTTGGAAGTCTTGCTTTTCAACACTGAA